CCTAGTGCCAATCTCCTGCAGTTTAGAAGAAAAAGAGGTGATCTTACTGAAACATGAATGGACTTAATAGGGTGGATACCAGGTGGGAGTATCCCCTTGTGGGAGAGACCAGAACTAGGGAACACAATTTAAAAACAAGTGGTCTACCATTTAAGGTGGAGCTCAATAGAAATTCCTTTCTGAGAATTGCTTTTCCCCAGAATATTCAAGGCTGGCATAGGCCACCAGGGGATTCTAGAGGTATCAGGAAAATGGAGCTGAAGCCATAACCCAATCGGCCATGGTCTTATCGAACGTTAGAGCAGGCTGTAGGGTCTGAATGGCCCACTCCTGTCCCTTATTTGTATATTTTCACGGAGCAGAGAAGCTGTAGTCATTAGGAGTAGAGAAACCCGAGCTGTTTCCACTGGGAGGGAGAGATTTTTGGAAGTGTTCAAAATTCTAGCCGTTTTGAAAAAAACACTTTAGTGCTGGTCACCGACTGGAAGTGTTTAACTTGAAGACGATGGAAGGAATGAAAGGAGGAGCTCCAAGTGTTCATTAGGCTCACAGTTAGGGCATAGCATTCCACGCTGCGAGGCAACAGAGGCTATAAAAGATATCAATAGGACAAGTCTTTGAAAATGAGAAAGTAAAAATTGACGAATGTACAGAGAACCATCAGGAACATTGGGGGCAGGCAGGATGGGTGGCTCTTTGAGAGCTGACTTGATTTGAGTGGAATACCTGTGCTGGAAAGTTTGATTGTATGGTTTGAAAAAGGGGCGGAATTTGACGACCTGTACGCAAAACAAGGTGAAATATTACATTTCTGAACCAGATCTGAAGCAACTTTTTAAAATGCTGGCATCAAACATATTCAATGTGTTTAAATCATAGGCTTGGGAAGACCCCTGTTTGTATCACTGGGAACATGGGTTTCAGTGGCAGTATGTCCTGCTGATCCATTACCGTGCATGAATTGGCAGCCAGGCATCCAACCCTGTGACTGTGCTGATATGTTGTGTGGCACGGTGACTCAGTGGTTAGCACTGTTACAGCACAGCGTCAGGGACCTGGCTTCAATTCCACCCTCGGATGACTGTCTGTGTGGAGTCTGCACATTCTCCCTGTGTGTACATAGGTTTCCTCCCACAGTCCAAAGACTTGCAGGTTAGGTGGATCAGCCAGGCTAAATTGCCTGTAGTGTCCAGGGATGGGCAGGCAAAGTAGGTTAGCCATGGGAAATGAAGGATTGCAAGAATGGGCTGGGTCTGGGAGGGATGCTTTGCAGAGGGAGAAACAAAGGTGCTTAATTCTTGATTGGAAAATGTCCAAATGGACCTAGGTGTCCTTGTTCATAAGTCACTGAAAGTAATCCTATGGGTGCTGCAAACAATTCAGAAGGCAGACGGTAAATTAGCCTTCATTGTAAGAAAATTTGAATAAAGGAGCAATGTAGTCTTACTTCAGAGGCCCAGACCGTAGGGATTCTATTTCCCAAATACTTCTTTGGAACTATATTAAGAACCATTTCAGTTAGTTTCCACATGGAGAGTTAAAGTGCTTGCAGTTTGGCAGCCAGAGGGCTGGTTTGGAACTGTATAGAACTTTCACAGTCAGGCCTGTGCTTGTCAGGCTGGAGTGATGACAAAGGCACTACAGGCCAGTGGAAGGAGCTGTACAGAAGGAGTTCCAAGTTCTTTCCTTCTCGCCAATGCCAACAATCACCAGGGGCAACGCAGAAGTGAACATCAATTAGTGATTTTGTGTCTGTCTTCACAGAAGAAAATACAAGAAATATCCCAGAAGTAACTACAAGGGACAAGTGAGAATGAAGAATTGAAAGAAATTGATATTCGTGGAAGAGTAATACTAGGACTGAAAGCGTACAAGCCTCCTTGGGTCTACATCGTAGAGTGTTGAATGTTGGATGCACTGGTGAACATCTTTCAAGTTGTGTAGATCCTGGTTGGTTCCTGCAGAATGGAAGTTGACAAATATTACTATTTTAAGGAGGGAGGGAGAGAGAATATGAGTAATTACAGACTTGTTAATCTCACATCAGGAAAACGTTAGCATCCATTATAAAGAATGTGGTATCAGGGTCCTTAGGAAATAATGAGATGATTGGGCAGAGCCAGCATGGATTTTCAGATGGAAAAATCATTTGAGAAACCTGCTGGAGATTTTAGAGGATGTTAACCAGCAGAGTGGCTAAACTGGGCTCAGATGTGGATTTGGATTTTCAGGAGACTTCTGATAGAAGTCCCACACAGAGGTTATTAAACAAAATTAGAGTGTATGGGATAATGGTTAATGTACATGAATCAAGGATTGGTAAATGGAAAGAAAATGAGACAGTAGGAATAAATGGGCAATTCTGAGGTTGGCAGATTGCCTATGGGGCTACTGCAAGGATCACTGCTGGAGCTGCAGCAATTTATACGGTCAACAACTTGGATGTTGGGAACAAATGTGATGTATCCAACTATGCAAAGAGCCTTCAAGAATTTAATAAGGCCTAGTGAGGGACAAAGCATGGCGCATGGATTGTAATGTGGATACATTTGAGGTTACCCACCTTGGTAGGGAGAAACAAAGGTGCTTAATTCTTGATTGGAAAATGTCCAAATGGACCTAGGTGTCCTTGTTCACAAGTCACTGAAAGTAATCCTGTGGGTGCTGCAAACAATTCGGAAGGCAGACGGTAAATTAGCCTTCATCGTAAGAAAATTTGAATAAAGGAGCAATGCAGTCTTATTTCAGTTGTATAAGAGACTAGTTTTCTCTCCCTTCAGTAAGTAATTGGTTGCTACTTTCTCTATGACTCAAACTGAGATTACACCAGGTAAAGTGTATGCACTTCAGAGAAGGCAATGGCCTAGTGGTATTTTTTGCTGGACTGTTAATCCAGAGACCCAGGTAATGTTCTAGGGACCCGGGTTCAAATCCTGCATTGGCAGTGGAATTTGAATTCAGTAAAAAAAACTGGAATTAGGGGTATAACGATGACTATGAATCTATTGCCAACTGTTGGGAAAAACCCATCTGGTTCACTAATGTATTTTAGGGAAGGAAGCTGCCATCCTTACCTGGTCTGGTCTACACGTGACTGCAGACCCACAGCAATGTGGTTGACTGGGCAATTAGGGATGGACAATAAACGCCCTCATCCCGAATAAAAAGAAGTTCTGGTGCTATTGCCTAAAGAAGAATATATTATCCACTGAGGGAGTGTTCACAAGACTGATTGGTGGGATCCTCCTATGAAGAGGCGTTGAGGAAGCTGGGCCTGTATTCTCTGGAGTTTGGAAAAATGAGAAGCAATCTCATGGAAACTTAGACATTTCTTAAAAGGATAGACAGAGTAGAAGTTGGAAGAGTGTTTCCTCTGGCTGTGGCGCCTCAAACTAGAGTCTCAGAACAAAAAGCAAGAAATTTAGGACTGAGATGAAGAACTTCTTCACCCAGAAGGGTTGAATCTTTAGAATTCTATACCCCAGAGGGTTGTGGACCCTCAGCCATTGAGTAAATTCAAGAAAGAAATCAATGAATTTTTAGTTTCTAATGACATCATGTGATGCAGTGTGGGAATACGGTCTTGAGAATAGATAATCAACCAGGATAGAATGGAAGAACAAACTCGAGGGGCTGAATGGCCTACTCGGGTACAAAATGTACGACTTGAAATGATGTCTGATGTGCTGTGTACAAAGATACACCACTGATCCAGGGTAACTGGGGGAGGACAGTAACCGTCAGCCTCACTTACGAATAAAGCATCTCATGTTGCAAAGTCAAGTTGAACTATGTGCTTGATACGTTATGACCATTTAAACATATCTTGTGTGAGTGAAAGTGAGCACCTATTGCAGAACAGCCCTGCAAATGTAACTTGTACCAAACAACACTATTACAGAGACCATAAGCAGGCTGTTCCCTCGGTAAGTAATTGGTTGCTGCTTCCCCCATGACTCAAACAGAGAAACCTGGTCACAGGGTCATCAAGTTGCAGTTTGCAGTTAGCAGTTAATTCTAAATCTGCATATAGGCTAGATGACTGACCTCAGTAATAGGGCCTGTAGTGAGGATTCAATGCCCATTTCAGCTGAGGTACACTTGGGACATGTCTCCTTGCCTTGCTGAGAGATTGGAAGGTAATTGGCAGCTGACAACAACTGGCGAAGAAAGCAGCTCAGGACAGACCGTCAGCAGACAATATACTCGGGACCTGCCATCAGGTGCAGCATTGGTGAAGGAGTGAGCTCAAACTAGGCAGATTAATGATTGCCAACTACACAGGAGCCTGGGCATTACTGAAGTCATAGTCATTGAGTTGTACAGCATGGAAACAGACCCTTTGGTCCAACTCGTCCAAGCCGACCATACTCAATTACTAGGGGACATGGGTTCAAAGTCTGGTCGGGGGTGGGGGTAGTGGGTTGAGATTTAAAGAGATGTGCGAGGCATGTTTTTTGCACAAAGGGTGGTGAGTGCATGGAACGTCTGCCAGAGGAGGTAGTAGAACCAAACATTTGCAGCATTCAAGAAGTACCTGGATGAGTACATGAATAGGGAGGGCATAGAGAGATACAGATCCTGTAATTGAAGATAGTTTTAGTATGGAAGGGCAAAATGTGTCATCACAGGTTTGGATGGTCGAAGGGCCTGCTTCTGGGGTCTATTGTTCTATATTCAGATATCCTAAACTGATCCAGTCCCATTTGCCAGCACTCGCCCCATATCCTTCTCAACCCTTCCTATTCATATACCCATCCAGCTGCCTTTTAAATGTTCTGTTCTTCAGAATATAACCCTAGGATCTTTTATGTCTTCTCTGGGCATTTGGGATGTTGGTTTAATATCGCCTTAAATGCCAGGAAATATTAGAATTCCTGCAGCGTGTCGGTGATTATTGAGGGAGTCCTTGGAAAGGTGCCATGGGCTGCTGTTGACACACTTTGTGCATGACTTTGGTTTTGCTCTCTAATCACTAATCACCTTTTCTCTGTAAACAGGCCAGCAGTGAAGCAGATCCTGGGACCTGGATTTCACCTGCTACTGAGTAAGTCTGACCATTGAAAGTCTCATTTAGCTGTGTGAACACAGATAGACACTTCCGATTTTTTAAGTCCCTTGTTAGAACCCCCATGTAAACCAAAAGAACTGAATTTTACCAAATGACCCTTTCAAGAATACAGAAGGACAAGATTTCACTTCTGATACCTTTAACAATCAAACCAAACTCAAAAGAAGTTAAAAGTGAGTGAACAGACAAACTGCACTCAACATGAACTACAAATTACACGTAAAATAGCAGACGCAATAAAGATAGACTCCACAAATTTGCTGGACAGTCCCACTTAATGTTCATGGCGCTCATTTCAATCACAAAGTTCTCAGGTAAAATTCCAGCTCTTTTCCTTAAGGATTTAGCCTGAGCGCCGCAGCATGTTGCATTTCTGTAGCACCGCCTCAGCTCCATGATGTTTTTTTAGATGATGTGCCTCCATCAGAGTCACCTCAGTCCAAGACCTTGGTAATAGTCCTATGTTCTGGTGAATCCAGTCCTTCAAAATAACCGAAGCAGTGACATAACCTTGTTTTTCTTGTCTCTGTTCTCAAATCCTGCCTTAAAGTTCACCTTTTCCTCAACTGCACTTCTTCTCTCTCCTGCAGAGCCCAGGTCACCTGGGCCTGTTTCCATGGAGCTGCTCCCAAATCACATGGGCCTGTCTCCTGGGTCATATGGACCCGTATCAGTCCACGCTGCCCCACGTCACGTGGGCCTGTTTTTCCTCCCCTTTTTTTGCATGTTAACTGATCACTCATTGCGCACCTCATTGAGGAAAAGATGACCCACTGTGACAAAGATGTCAACTTTAATCTCTCGATGCCTTCACCTGCAGCTTTCGGTTGCTAAATATTTTAGGATTACCCTTGTACTGCTTAACTGATGCAGCTTTTCCCCTGATTGGCTTCTTGTTCCCACTCTGCTTTAGCTCTGGGGTTTCTATAGTGACAGGCACCACGGACCGTGGTACTGCTGCCAGGTTCGCCCAGTATAACTGAGTCCGTCACCGGAGACCCGGGTACAGATGCTCCCCGCTCTGTCGCACATTGTGTACTCTTGACTGGAAGCACCACGGCTAGAGTTCTGACTGAGAGTTCCTGCAGATGGGAGGCCCCACGTAAATGTACTTTCCCTCACTCGTGTATCTTGCGGCCTGTGGATTGCAGGCTCTGCACCTGACAGTGTTCCACAAGCACGAATGAGCCAAATTACCAGTTAATTTATTGGTTTGAGATAAATATTGGCCGGGGCTCTCTCGAGAACTCTCAGGCTCCTCAAATTGTGCCACTGGCTCTTCACACCTGTTCATGCAGACCACGTGTGCTTTTTTAATGTGTCGCTGTCAAGGCGGATGATGCACAATTCATGAGAGGTTGATTGAGTTCACACCACTTTTCTGTCTGGAGTGGGAGGGGAGTGAACTAGTTACAGAAAATTAAGTGCCATGACTGTAAGATAGTCACTTATAAATCCAGTAGGGAATTGAAGAGAAACTTTTAAGATTGCAGAACTCTGAACCATAAGAGTGAAGTTCTTCATGGCAATGACAAGTCAGTGACCCTCCATACTCCCTCTGATTTGTTTTTATGTCGTTGGGTTCCACTTCTGATGCCGGTTGACGAAATGGGCAGGAGTTATGTTCATTAGGAAGCGAATTACTCTCTCCTCGAGATTCTGCTAAAACCGGCTTGTATACTACGGCCAGTGTAGCATTTCAAAATATAACTTCATCTTTTAAAATTTGTTTTTAAAAATATGCTTTTAATGGTCCAATTTGCTTGATTGATACAACCGAAAATTGCTGGGGCACGAAAATGGAAACGTTTTTAATTGTGGACAGTCCACCATCAGAAGTGGTTAACTTTTAAAATTCCTTCATTAAAGTACAAACATTCACGAGTCATTTGGGCTAAATCAGTAATTTTTTCCCCCCTGGTAATTTTAGAGAAAAAAAAAATCACATTCAAAAGCAATTTGCAATTAGTGTCTGAGCTTTAAAGAGGCAGCTTAATCTTTGGGTAGACTTCAAATGCACATGGTTAGCACAGAATCCCAATGGTGATTAATTTGTACAACAGAACAGACATTTGTGTGGGAGGAGCCTGTTTCTAGCACAGGGTTTCTTAAAAGCAGCACTTTTCAGATTGCAGGAACTGTGCTGGCTGTAGTCGTGTTTAAAATTCCACAATCACTCACGTGGATTACACTGGGGGAGGGGGAAACCGCTAAGCATCTGTGCCAGAGCATGAGGTAAAAGAAAATGAACTGCGTGTAAAGGGGCTGCTGGCCTCTGCTTCAGCCTATTGCTCAAGACCGATTTCACCCTCATTGTCCTTTCTGTGTTAATACTCGTAACCCACATTGCATCCCCTCTCACCTCGAAGTGCATCTTGCCCTTGGTTTTTGGGAAAAATGAGTTGTAACAAAGAAATGCCCACTCGAGTCTTGGATAGACTTCATTGCTGTTACGTTATCCCAAGGTGAGGAGAAAATTTGAAATAGTGGGGAAACATCGCTGGGGTGGGAGAAGGGATAGATAAATATGGAAATTTTGAGAGTGGAAAGGAAGGCAAGAAAAGCAACAGGAAAGCTGAAGTTTCAGGAACAAGTTGAAATTTGTCATAGGAGTGAGGAGAGTGCTCCTTTCTTGTGTTTGATTCCATAAAGTGTTTGGTTTGCTTAGCCTTTTTGTCTTGTTTTACAGCATCAAGCTGAAGGTCGAGTTGCCTGAAGTCCATATCCCTTCTGGTGAAGAGTTGGATGCTTTAGCAGTCAGTACATACGGTGAGCATACAGTCATGATTAGCGTACAGTCAGTTGCGTCATCCACTTCCCTGTGTCAACAGAACACGCGTGTTCCTAAACAGACAGAACCTCCATACACATTGGTGGCCGATCATTGGAGTGTTGCCCTCATCAGTTTGATATGTAGGAACCATGATTGGGGGGCAAGCAGAGAGATAGAAACCACGCATGGGCAATAAGTCTAAGTAAGAATTGGAATTGCAGCAGGCTTGATGGGCCGAAAGTCCTGTTCCTGTGATGTATTGAATTGTATTGTGTAACCACAGCAGAGACACATCATTTCCAATCCCAAAGCCCAACCCGAGAACCTAAACTTTATGCAGGACAGTGGGGTAGAGGCGCACTGGACTCTATCCAAAACCAGAATCATTTGTTTGATACTTGTGTCTGTGTTGAACTCAGTTCTGCCAGTACAAATGGTAATTCAGCCCAGTTTGGATCAAACCAACCCTAGCCCTTGACTTTCCTGATGGTTCCCAGTAATTCCATTGGCTGCTTCTGTGGCTTTCAGTCACTATCTCCAGCTGCTGTGATGCTCTACTGAATCTATAGGTTCACCCTGTCCCTCACTCAGAGCAGACAGTCTACTGGCATTGGCCAGCACTGACCATGAGCTACCTCACTTCATCAGTCTCCAATGTCTCAAATCAGATTGGATTGTCATCAATAGATGGGCTGAAAAGAACAAAGAACAAAGAAAATTACAGCACAGGAACAGACCCTTCAGCCCTCCAAGCCTGCGCCGATCCAGATCCTCTATCTAAACCTGTCACCTATTTTCCAAGGATCTGTATCCCTCTGCTCCCTGCCCATTCATGTATCTGTCTAGATACATTTTAAATGACGCTATCGTGCCCGCCTCTACCACCTCCACTGGCAACGCGTTCTAGGCGCCCACCACCCTCTGCATAAAGAACTTTCCACGCATATCTCCCTTAAACTTTTCCCCTCTCACCTTGAAATCGTGACCCCTAGTAACTGAGTCCCCCACTCTGGGGAAAAAGCTTCTTGCTGTCCACCGTGTCTGTACCTCTCATGATTTTGTAGACCTCAATCAGGTCCCCCCTCAACCTCCGTCTTTCTAATGTAAATAATCCTAATCTACTCAACCACTCTTCATAGCTAGTGCCCTCCATACCAGGCAACATCCTGGTGAACCTCCTCTGCACCCTCTCCAAAGCATCCACATCCTTTTGGTAATGTGGCGACCAGAACTGTACGCAGTATTCCAAATGGGGTCGAACCAAAGTCCTATACAACTGTAACATGACCTGCCAACTCTTGTACTCAATACCCTGTCCGATGAATGAAAGCATGCCGTATGCCTTCTTGACCACTCTATCGACCTGCGTTGCCACCTTCAGGGTACAATGGACCTGAACACCCAGATCTCTCTGTGCATCAATTTTCCCCAGGGCTTATCCATTTACCATATAGTTCGCTCTTGAATTGGATCTTCCAAAATGCATCACCTCGCATTTTCCTGGATTGAACTCCATCTGCCATTTCTCTGCCCAACTCTCCAATCTATGTATATTCTGCTGCATTCTCCGACAGTCCCCTTCACTATCTGCTACTCCACCAATCTTAGTGTCATCTGCAAACTTGCTAATCAGACCATCTATACCTTCCTCCCGATCATTTATGTATATCACAAACAACAGTGGTCCCAACACGGATCCCTGTGGAACACCACTGGTCACAGTTCTCCATTTTGAGAAACTCCTTTCCACTACAACTCTCTGTCTCCTGTTGCCCAGCCAGTTCTCTATCCATCTAGCTAGTACACCCTGGACCCCATGCAACTTCACTTTCTCCATCAGCTTACCATGGGGAACTTTATCAATTGCCTTACTGAAGTCCATGCATATGACATCTACAGCCCTTCCCTCATCTATCAACTTTGTCACTTCCTCAAAGAATTCTATCAAGTTGGTAAGACATGACCTTCCCTGCACAAAACCATGCTGCTTATCACTAATAAGCCCATTTTCTTTCAAATGTAAATAGATCCTATTCCTCAGTATCTTCTCCAGCAGATTCCCCACCACTGACATCAGGCTCACCGGTCTATAATTACCTGCATTATCCTTGCTACCCTTCTTAAACAAGGGGACAACATTAGCAATTCTCCAGTCCTCCGGGACCTCACCCGTACTCAAGGATGCTGCAAAGATATCTGTTAAGGCCCCAGCTATTTCCTCGCTCGCTTCCCTCAGTAATCTGGGATAGATCCCATCCAGACCTGGGGAGTTGTCCACCCTAATGCCTTTCCAAATACCCAACACTTCCCCCCACTCCTTATGCCGACTTGACCTAGAGTAATCAAACATCTATCCCTAACCTCAACATCCATCATGTCCCTCTCCTCAGTGAATACCGATGCAGGGTACTCATTAAGAATCTCACTCATTTTCTCTGACTCCTCACATAACTTCCCTCCTTTGTCCTTGAGTGGGCCAACCCTTTCTCTAGTTACCCTCTTGCTCCTTATGTATGAATAAAAGGCTTTGGGATTTTCCTTAACCCTGTTTGCTAGACTTATTTCATGACCGCTTTTAGCCCTCTTAATTCCTCGTTTCAGATTGGTCCTACTTTCCCGATATTCTTCCAAAGCTTCATCTGTTTTCAGTCGCCTAGACCTTATGTATGCTTCCTTTTTCCTCTTTGCTAGTCTCACAATTTCACCTGTCATCCATGGTTCCCTAATCTTGCCCTTTCTATCCCTCATTTTCACAGGGACATGTCTGTCCTGCATTCTAATCAACCTCTCTTTAAAAGCCTCCCACATATCAAATGTGGATTTACCCTCAAACAGCTGCTCCCAATCCACATTCCCCAGCTCCTGCCGACTTTTGCTATAGTTGGCCTTCCCCCAGTTCAGCACTCTTCCTTTAGGACCACTCTCGTCTTTGTCCATCAGTATTGTAAAACTTACGGAATTGTGATCACTATTCCCAGAGTAATCCCCTACTGAAACTTCAACCACCTGGCCGGGCTCATTCCCCAACTCCAGGTCCAGTATAGCCCCTTCCCAAGTTGGACTATTTACATACTGCTCTAGAAAACCCTCCTGGATGCTCCTTACAAATTCTGCTCCATCTAAACCCCTAACACTAAGTGAATCCCAGTCAACGTTGGGAAAATTAAAATCTCCCATCACCACCACCCTGTTGCTCCTACATCTTTCCATAATCTGTCTACATATTTGTACCTCTATTTCACGCTTGCTGTTGGGAGGCCTGTAGTACAGCCCCAACATTGTTACCGCACCCTTCCTATTTCTGAGCTGTGCCCATATTGCCTCACTGCTCGAGTCCTCCATAGTGCCCTCCTTCAGCACAGCTGTGATATCCTCTTTGACCAGTAATGCAACTCCTCCACCCCTTTTACCTCCTTCTCTATCCCACCTGAAGCATCTATATCCTGGGATATTTAGTTGCCAATCTTGCCTTTCTCTCAACCAAGTCTTAGTAATAGCAATAACATCATACTCCCAGGTACTAATCCAAGCCCTAAGTTCATCTGCCTTACCTACTACACTTCTCGCATTAAAACAAATGCTCCTCAGACCACCTGTCCCTTTGCGTTCATCATCTGCTCTCTGCCTACTCTTCCCCTTAGTCACACTGACTTCATTATCTAGTTCCTTACAGGCTTTAGTTACTACCTCCTTACTGTCCACTAACCTCCTCATTTGGTTCCTATCCCCTTGTCACATTAGTTTAAACCCTCCCCAACAGCATTAGCAAAAGCAGTCCCTAGGACATTCGTTCCAGTCCTGCTCAGGTGTAGACCGTCCGATTTGTAATAGTCCCACCTCCCCCAGAACCGGTCCCAATGTCCCAAAAATCTGAACCCCTCCCTCCTGCACCACCTCTTTCCTTTTCAGAAAGGTTTTTATCCATCGTTCTGACAGACTCTTGATGTAGAGACCAACATCCTGTAGCATTATTTGGAAAGTATTTGTGCAGTGACCAAGAAGAGACAACGAAATTGGCTCTAGGCAAGTCTAATTCTGTTCTTTATGGGTTGCATGTGTCAGGCTTACTGAACTCCTAAATTCATAACGTTGTAAGCCTAGACCTGTTCATGTGGATATAAAAGATCTCATGACACACCTCCAGAGGTTAGACTTAGGTTTAGATGCTGGTCCTGAACCAATTCAGTTCACTCCACATGATATCAAGAAAGTGAAATATCCATTGTCTGATGCCAAGGCTAAGGGCCCTGACAACATTCCAGCAGCAGTATTGAAGACTTGTGCTCCAGAACTTGCTGCCACTCTATCCAAGCTGATTCAGTACAATTCTTACACTACCTTGTGCACAAAAACCACTTCAAATCCAACCCAAGCAATTACCGCCCCATCTCAATCATCAGTAAAGTGATGGAAGGTGTCATCAACTGCAATATCAAGCAGCACCTGCTCAGCAATAACCTGCTCAGTGACACTCCGGTTGGGTTCTGCCAGGGCCGCTCAGCTCCTGACCTCATTACAGCCTTGGTTCAAACATGGACAAAAGAGCTGAATTCCAGAGGTGAGGTGAGAGTGACAGCCCTTGATATCAAGGCTGCATTTGACCAAATGTGACATTCAGGGGCCCGAGCAAAACTGGAACCATAGGTGTCGGGGGGAACACAGTCCCCTGCTTAGAGCCATACCTGACACATAGGAAGATGGCCGTGGTTGTTGGAGGTCAGTCATCTCAGCTCCAGGACATCCTTGGGGCAGTGTCCTAGACCCAATCATCTTCAGCTGCTTCATCAATGACCTTCACTCCATCATAAGGTCAGAAGTGGGGATGTTTACCAATGACTACACAATCTTCAGCACCATTCGCAACTCCTCATATACCAAAACAGTCCATGTTCAAATGCAGCAAGACCTGGACAATATCCAGACCTGGGCTAAAATGTAGCAGCATTTGTGCCAGATAAATGCCAAAAATGGCCATCTCCAATGAGTAACAATCTAACTATTGCCCCTTTACATTCAATAACATCACCATCATTGAATCTCCCACTATTAATATCCTAGGAATTACTGTTGATTAGAAACTGAACTGGACTTGCCACATAAACATAGTGACTACAAGAACAGGCCAGAAGCTGGGAATACTGCAGCGAGTAACTCACCTCCTGACTCCCCAAAGCCTGTCCACCATCTAAAAGACACAAGTCAGGAGTGTGATGGAATACTCCCCACTTGCCTGGATGGGTGCAGCCCCAACAACACTCAAGAAGCCCGACACCATCCAAGACAAAGCAGCCACTCGATTGGTGCCACATCCACAAGCATCCACTCCCTCCACCACTGACGCTCAGTAACAGCAGTGTGTACTATCTACAAGATACACTGCAGAAATTCACCAAAGATCCTTAGACAGCACCTTCCAAACCCACTGCCACTTCTCCTAGAAGGACAAGGGCAGCAGGTAGATGGGAACACCACCCGCTGCAAGTTCCCTCCAAGGTACTCTTGACTTGGATACATAATCATTCATTCCTCTACTGTCGCCTGGTCAAAATCCTGGAATCCCCTCCCTAAGGACGTTGTGGGTCAGTGATGGACTGCAGCGGTTCAAGAAGGCAGTTCACCACCAGCTTCTCAAGGACAACAAGGGACAGCAATAAATGCTGCTCCAGTAAACGGTGCCCACATCCAACGAATGAATTAAAAAAAATCCAAAAAGTAGCACAGACCTGTCCTGCCCAAGAATCCCTCGGTTTATCATAAACTGGTCATTTGCTCAGTATTTACACCCTGCTCTACATTGGTCTGACACATGGCCCACATGAGCTGAGAAAGTCTTTGGAGCATCCTACAGGGAAATGATGTATTGAACAAATGTGAATTCCCTTTCTGTACTCCCAACTTGCAATATCAATGAATCCACTGTATTTGGGTGTTCCTGTGTAGTAATTGCTAACCCATTGATTTGACAGGCCTGAGGCCACAGGTTTCTGCTGTGGTGTAAACATCCGTGTTGAGCAGGGGAAAAAGAAGAGGAAAACGTGTTTGGCAGGCTGTTCTGTTTCATCTGCCTTTTCTGTGATAAATCCCAAGTAAAGGGAGGGAAAGAGCAAGGCAGCGACTGTAGCCATTTTGCCCCCGAGAGGATACACCTCTTAAGCGAGGATTCCCTTTTAAATGTTTTAATAAGCTATGAAGTTCTCTGTCACCTGGGAGGTAAACCAGCATAAAGGAGACCATTCGGCCCTTCTACTTTTTGAGAGCTCAATCCAGCACATCCCGCTCCTCTGCACTTCCTTTAAAATTTGCAAATGCTTCCTCCTCTTTCTCAGGTCACATCTTATTGCTGTCTAGGTTTTTGAAATATTCCTGCAGAGGTTTTACTCATGGAATTTTTGTGACATCTGTCTGTCAATCAAAGTTAACTTTAAACGGAAAATACGGGGCAAGTATCTTAATTTTAATAAGGGAAAGAATTATTCACTTTCAAATTGGCAAGTGCAGATGTTGAGTGTTTTGAGATTTATAGAGGTGGCATTACATTGAGACAGGGAATGTTGGGATTGGCAGATACAATCAGCAATCTCCATGTCTCCCTCCCCCAAACATTTTAAGCAACCTCAAGTTAATTTATTGGCCAAGCCGTGAGGTGGGTTTGGATAAGGAAGGAGAAAGCTGCGGTTTTGCCTATCTGTGTATTTATTCCCCTGTGCTGACTACAGCGAGGATAATCTTCCTTTTGTCGTCCTGTTGGCAGGTGGAGATGACTTGAGCTGTGGGGCTGCCCCGTCTGTAGTCGGGAATGAGAGAGCAGGGCGTCGGGCTCTAATGGACCGGTGTGAGGGGCGGATCACTGCTGCTGATGTAGCCCCGCGTGTAACCAAGTGGCATTATCTCCAGTGTCAAACTGCAGACCAGCCACCCAGCTGTGACGGCCTGGGGCAGACTCCAACCAATCAAATGTGCACAGAAAACACAGTGAGCAGCGCAGTGCCCCCTGAAAACACGCGTGCCGAGGGCCCAAACCATCCTGCCAGGCCAGTGAAGCACACTAAAGTCGAGAAGCTGGACCGGGGGGAAGTTACCGGTGAGGTGTTTAGAGAAAATGCAGGACCTATCCACACAGTGAGCTGCCGGACATTTTCAGAGACTGTGTTGGTTCAGGGAGTGCCTGTGGGAGGTGTCCTGAGCAGTGATGGGCCCGATCAGATTCCTGCCTCTGTCTCTGTCGAAGGCCTCGTGACTATTGGGATGATTGCTGAGAGCAGGCTGGGTGAGGCACCTTCAGATAATGCCACTGTTCTACTGCCCATGGGAGGTGAAGTGGCCACCAATGTATTAGTCTTTCAGGCCTTGGAAGGTGGAATAACCAGTGAACAGGTGACCTGCCTGAATCTCGGAGCAGATCACCACCCTGGTGTACCGACAGCACCCAGTGAGTTGACCACAGCGAAGGTAATGGCAACAAATGGACCCTTCCAGGGCTTGTTGCCTGGGACACCATCGGGAAATACAGAAATGGTAGAGACGGAAGCAGAAAGGGAGATGACCGTAGCCGTGCCTGTCGAAGAGGACCTGACCAGTGGCCAACTCGCTGGGATTCAGCGAGCCGCACAGGGCCTTGCACAGGAAGAGACAGCTATGGGATTTGTGACTTTTGAGATTCCAACTGAGCGCAAGGCGACTGACGCTTCTGCAGTCACGACACCAAATCCACTGACTACTGCAGACCCTGCCAACACAGCACATCCACGAATTACAGCTACCAACAGCTCTCTCCCCGAGAGTGAAGTCCCTCCAGAAACAGCAGCGGAGGCGCCCGCAGAACGTGGGCTCCCCGACGGGTTTTCCGTAGAAAGGGCGATGGCCAGTATCATGCTCAGAATGAATGAATTGGTCGATGTGCCAACAGATGTCACTGCTGTCGATTCGGGAGAGGACGAGCTGACCACAGACGACGAGCTGACCTCCGGCGACGAACTGACCACGGAGGACGAGCTGACCTCCGATGATGAGCTACCCATGGACGGCCGGGTGGTTGATGAAACACTAATGGAGACCGAGTTGGCAGACATTCCTGCAGACACCACTGCTGCTGCCATGGAAGTCTGTACCGCAGTTGAACTGGCTCGGGAAATGGGTGTTGCACCTAGCAGCCTACTTACAGAGGAACAGTTAGCGAATGAGCCACTGGAAGAAGTTGAAACAACTGGAAGTGTGACTTATGAGGTTCTAGTCGATGGGGAGCTTGTTGACATCCCCACTGATATAGTAATCATTGAATTAACCGGAGAGAATCAGGATGAAGGGATATCTTTTGATTTTGGATTAACCAAGGAAACCATTGCAGAGAATGGATTAGTTGTGATATCATCAGATACCATTGGGCCAGCGAGAGTGGTGCTTTCCCAAGATAGGCTTTTGCAGAATGAATTGGTTACGTTTTCCCAAGAATCTTTAGCCTCCCTAAAGGATGAGGAGGTCAGAGATCCTTCCACCAAGGGAGGGCTTGCAGAGAGCGGTTTGATGAAGCCACCTCCAGATACAGCAGACATGGAAGTAGCTGCAGGAGATGAAGTAGCAACAGTGTTGATCAATGCTGGGGCAGGAGATACACTCGGTGGAGATATGAAGGGAAGCCAGACGTCAGATGAAAGTTCCGTCCTCAACTCCTTGCAAAACAAGCGTTGTGAGCCACTGACACCAAAAGGAGTTGATGTTTGGGCCACTGTTGACAACAATACAATAAATAGCGAGGTTAATGAGTGCCAAAATACTGAACTCGGTAACAGTGAGTCAGGCTGTATTCCGCTGCCTCTTGGACATGATCCGTGCCCAGAGCAGGAGGTCAGCTGCATAGAAAAGGACAGCAATCAATTAATTATGGACGGTACAACCACATTTGGGAAATTTGGAACAGCACCAGTGTGTAAGGAAGCAGCCCTTTGCTCTGTAAAGTGGAAAGCACTGAGAAACACGAATAGGACACCAGAGTTTGTAAGGTTAAAGACGAAGGAGTCAAACCGTGCTGTCCTCTTGTCGAATTGTGCTCAGTATTTCTCCCCTCTGGAAACGTTCCGGGAGGACAGGCTGTCAAAATGTGTGGATTGTGGCAGCAGCAAGTGTGACAGTGTCAGCATGGGGCACAATATCCAACACATGGAAGGAGTAAAACCAAAGAACCTGCCTCTTCTGCTGATGGGTGATTTGGGGCATGGTAAACGGTGTGGAAAGCTCGCGGTCCTGGAACACTTGTCAGCCATTGCCAATGGTCTGAGTTTATTTTCCGAGTGTGCGGAAATGCAGCAGGAGTTCTCTCGAGTGTCTGACGTTATTGTAGCTCTGGGAATGTGCAGTAGATTTCAATTCCAAAAAGGCATCGACCTACAGTTCCACTTCAATTCTGAGCAAGCGTCCCCTTTGGACCCTTTCTGCTACCAACCATCCCCAAATTCAGAGCAGTCTGCCAGTGGGAAGCCTCTTGCTCAGTCCCACCAAAAGGATCCGTATTGGCCTTTCCCACTGTCAATGCACTTCCATACTCCTGACTTCCCGATTTCGCCTCCTGCCAACCTGGCTCCCTTACTGTCGTGGTTTGCTCACGGTGCTGAGTCAGGTGATCATGGTCGCGAAAGGACAGCTTTACCGATCACTCCACAACACTCCCAGACGCCTTCCCAATGCCGCCCCGGCTCTGGCAATACCTTTTGGACACCAGCTGTGCCGTTCGTGGCTGGCAGGTGCCCTTGCTCCCATTCCAGGTTTGGGTTGCACACTGTTCTAGCACTTTCATCGCCGGCCTGCTACAGACTCTGGACGAGGCAGCGCCACTTCGGTAGAGCCTCTAACGCCCACCGGCCGTTCTTGACTCCGTTTGGAGGGAGTTTGGAAAAGCTTATTGTCCCAGTTCATTCCGACAAATCCTTTTGGTCACTGAGCTACACCCTGGGCCGAGTGGTGTCATGGTGGAGTCAGCACAGTCCAACACCCTGTGCATCAAGATTTAGTACCAGCCCCTCCAGTAACTGCGGGAGGAGCATTCCCAGGTTAGTATAAGGTTCCTTTATTACCATGTTGTAATTCAGAGATGCTGTTCGCTGTAAATTGAACAGAACCGATAATCATACACTCTTGCAGGGCCACTGGAAACCATTCAACCCATTCTGCCCCTGCCCCTTCGAAAGATCTGTCGGCTCCCCTCTTTCCTTCACATGTTTCCTGTTCAAGCACGCACCCAGCTTCCAAAAGAAAACTTTAAATCTGTTTTCAGCAACCTTTCAGCCAGCGAGTTCCAATTCATAGCTTACTGCGTCACTTTGTCTGCTTAGCATCAGCAAAGCTTTAGATTTAAATAAAAGTAACATGGGATGTAAAACAAGATTTGAAAGCTAGGTTGAAAAATGGTTGTTTAGATTAAAAAAGCAGATACAAATGTTAAAAGTAAACACACAAAAGATACATATTAAAATGAGAACAAGATTGTAGAATCCCTACAGTGTAGATAGAGACCATTCAGCCCATCATATCTGCACCAGCCCTCCGAAGAGCATCCCACCCTATCCCCATAACCCCACTTTTGCCATAATTAATCCACCTAGTCTGCACGTTCCAAGACACTATAGGGCAATTTAGCACGGCCAATCCACCTAACCTGCACATCTTTAGACTGTGGGAGGAAACCAGAGCACCCAGAGGAAACCCACGCAGACACAGGGAGAATATGCAAACTCCACACAGACAGTCACCCGAGGGTGGAATCAAAGATCAGTCTGTGATCGTTTCAGCCTTTCTACTTGCTGAAGATTTCTCTTTCCAAGCGTTGGAAATGCCAAGTCAGAATTCAGCAGCTGTGATGACTTCAGTGCTTGTGGATAGAGTAAGCTTTGAGAGAGAGATTTCCAGTTCTTCAATAGTTCTGTGATTACAGCACTTGCAGACTGCCTTACTCTCCTGGCAGAATAGGGGCTGATTTCTGAAAGCCTTCTCTCTCTCTCTGTCTGTCTCTCTTTCTGATACTGCCACATTTTCCTCCTTGGGATTCTGCTTTAAAATCGTATTTCACAGAATCTTATACAGATCGAGCATAAGTGTATCGTAGCTCCACAAAGCAAAGTCAGTTATGTTGGAATTCCCTGTGAGGGACGGAGGCTCTTTCTGTGTTTTCTCCCAGAAGCTTTTAATTCTCACATCTTTCATTGCGCTGTCTCTGTTTATCCAAGGCTTCAGTAAATTCCAGATGTCTCCTTTGTGGTTGATGCTGATGTGACACATCAGCTTTTCTGACGACAATGAAGTGACTGACTCATGGGAGCCAATTTTTCAGACGCTGTCTCATATATTTTGAAGAGATTGGATTAGCCATCGTTATAAAGTTTATAATATACTTACAGAAGGCTCTTGTGGTGTGGTGGATATGTCCCCATTTGTGGGCCAGTAACCTCGCATTCAAGTCCCACCTGTTTTGTACTACACTGGAACTTCTCTGAATAGATTGATTGCAAATATATCATGACACATTAATGTCGATACTTTCCTCCTTATCAAATTTTTTTTCTGTAGAAATACATCGTAGAAAGTATGAAATGCACACAGTTTTTCTGTACACGCAGATGCTGCTCCAATACAGCTTGTTCCTTCAGTCAGATTTTACTCGGACATTTTCTTCCCTTTTTCTCCCCATTTTTACAATAAATTTGCAATTTTTCTCAAACTTTGGGGTTTTATTGGACTTGCTATCTGTGGCTTCCCCACAGCTGAAGTTCACAAGGAATGCACTAAGTCAGCTCCATCGTTAACCTGGGTGTAACCTGTGCATCTGACCCCAGTCCCCCTCTATCACCAAAGCAACCTCTGTAACATGCTCCATCTCTGCTCCAGTCCCTGCCTTACCTGGGGCTGAAGCCCTCATTTGTACCTTTTGTATCTCTAGACTCGGCCATTCCAATGTTCTCCTGACCGGTCTCCCAACAACCCAATTCCCAGTTCATCACCCCCAAACTCACTGATCTACATTGAGCCCTGCACCAGCAGTGCTGAGTTTAGAAATTTGTGCCCTGGTTTTCAAATTTGACGCATTGTACTGGTTCCAGCCTTGCTCAGCATCAGCCACACCTAATAATTTGGGGTCAGCCGCAATTTCTGGAGTTATATTTCTGGTTCTCGTGCCCAAATCGTTAATGAAAATAGTGAATTGTGGTTCCAGCTCTGACCTTTGTCCCAGCAGCAATGACCTCTAATCCTTACTTTTATTTCATTTTGCTACTTGTCCTGTTGCCTTCACATGCTCTGAACTTAGTTATGGGACTCCTTCAAATACCTTATTGAAGGTCTTTTAAAAGTCCATATGTATTCTGTCCACTGCATTACTTTTTATGTACTCTGCTACTTCAAAGAATTCAACTTCATAGGCCAAGAATGATTTCTAAAACAAAATCTCTGCCAGTGTGTTTTAACTTACTGCTTTTTTTCTATTGCATCTTGGAGTCAAGATTTCATCATTTTTTTCCTCTGATCACCATGACGATAATAAGTCTATAGTTTCTGGTGTTTATTCTTTTGGAATGTAGCCACAATTTTAGCAATGTACCACATTTCAAATGGGTGCATCTGGACGCCTAACCACCTTAATGCATCTGTTTTAAAAAAGGTGGGGTGGGGGGCTTTATCTTCTCCAGTTTCTGACTCACCACATATCTTCGTTCACTTTTTTAAATAAAGTATCTTGAATATCCTTTCTGATCTCTGCTAACATTACGCCTCCTTTGTAGACACCAAGATGAAATAATTAGGCACTATTTCTCTCGATTTTGTTGCTGCTATCTGAGAGTTTTGAGTCCTTTAGAGGCACTATCCCTCACCGAATATTCCTGTTTGTGTCTGGAGAATACTTTTTATATCCCTTTTGTGTTTTTGACCTGTTACTGGCTTCCTTCCTAACCTTCTCTTACTGTATTTTTGTTCTTTTACTGTCCAATAATTAACATGCAATCTTAAGAAGCATCGATTCTCAGTACCTCTACTGAAGCCCTGCTTTCATCCTTGGCTGTTTTTGTTTCGTTCTTGATCCTTATGGAGTTTCCCCTTAACGACATCATCCAAAGGTGAGTTGTTAGTTTACACACCCACTTCCAGTAACCTGCTCTACCTCACCACCAACTCTTTTTAACAACGCTGCTGTTGCTGAGTTATCTGGCTGCATGCCCAACATCCAGTGCTGGATGAGCTGTAATATACTCCCATTCAACGTTGGGATGACTAAAACCATTGCTTTCAGTCCGTGTTCCTGAGCAGCTGACACCATCCCCCTCCCTGATAATGGCCTGGGACTAAACCAGACTGTTCATAACTTGGTGTCATATGTGAACGTGAGATCATCATGTGGACTGAAATTCATGCCATCTCTACGACTGATTATTTCCTCTTCTTTCAATCGCCCTGTCTCCACTCCTGTGCTGTTGAAACCCATATTGATGCCTTTGTTACCTTTAGATGCAGCTATTCTAGCACTCTCCCAGCTGCTCTCATACTTGATGAACTCAGTAAACTTGACCTTGCGCAAAGCTCTGCTGCCATGTCTTAACCATCAGCAAGTCCTGTTCACTTTGCCACCCTCCCCCATGCTCACTGACCTAAAACATGTTCCCTTGTTTTCACATCCCTCCATGGCCTCACCCTCTCCACATCTCTGTAATCTCCTCCAGCCCCATAACCCTCAAAAGATATTTGTGCTTCTCTAATACCGTGCGGCACCGCACAGTGGCTCAATGGCCAGCGCTGCTACATCAAAGCAACAGGGATCTGGGTTCAATTCCACCCTCGGGCAAATGTCTGTGTGGAGTTTGCACATTCTCCCCCTATCTGCATGGATTTCCTCCCACAGTCCAAAGATGTACAGGCTAGATGGTATGGCCAGGCTAAATTGCCCCATAGTGTTCAGGGATGTACAGGCTAGGTGGGTTAGCCATGGGATATGCAGGGTTACAGGGATAGGGTGGAGGAAGTGGGTCTGGGTAGGATGCTCTTCAGAACGTCGGTGTGGACTCGATGGGCCCAATGGCCTGCTTTTACACTGTCGCGATTCTATGATTTTATGATGCCCTTTCTTTAATCACTTCTCCATTGGCCTTCAGCCACCTAGGTCATCAGGTCTCGAATTCCCTTCCTGGACTCCCTGTCTCTTTCCATCACTTCAAGATATTCTTTAAAACTTACTTTTAACCAAGCTTTTGGTCATCTTACTTAACACCCCTGTGCTTTTATAATATCTCCTCATGTGGGTGGATGTCATACTTTGTTTTGCAATCCTCCTGTGAAGCACTTTAGGATATTTTATCACATTAAATTTACTATCTAAATATAGGTTATAGGTTACTTTTATGTTTTTCGATGAATGTATTTTCATGCTTTCTTGATCTTTTTATTTACCGCTACTTCTCTAACTATGTCAGTTTATTTTTCTAATTTCCTTCACAATTTCCATTCTCATTCCTTTTATAATTGTTCTTCAATTCCTCTTCAATCTATTGTCTTTATCTTATATCTGTCTCAATCACCAGCTCAAATCTTATTTTGTGATAGCTATTACCGAAATGCTTCCCCATGCTTATTTCTCTGACCTGATCTGGTTGATTTCCCATCGCTAGATCTAGCAGTAATTCCACTGTCTTTGAGCCTCTTGTACTGGGTAAGAAAAGAGTCCTGTATGCATCTACCTCACGTCATTTTCCTGTCCACTCATCATTTCCCGTGAATTCTTAAGAGACAAAGCTGAGACAGACAGGTTGTTAAAGTATGTTTAATGGAGCACATACAGCCCTCTGGGACAGAGTCACAGAGTCATGCAGCACGGAAACAGACCCTTCAGTCCAACTCATCTGAGTTTCCCAAACTAAACTAGTCCCATTTGCCTGCATTTGGCCCATGTCCCTTTAAATCTTCCCTATTCATGTACCTGTCCAGATGCCTTTTAAATGTTGTAACTGTACCTGCATCTAACACTTCCTCTGGCAGTTCATTCCACGTGGGAACCACCCTCTGTGTGGAAAACGTTCCTCCTCAGGTTCTTTTTAAATCTTTCCCCTCTCGTCTTAAATATATGCCCTCTAGTTTTGGACTCCTCCCCCTTTGCTATTCACTTTGTCTATGCCCTTCACGATTTTAATTCCAAAGAAACAGTTCTTTGCAATTCACAAAAGATTCTACATCTGGGTCCTAAATGCTGATCTCCCTCCAGCTGTAGACTCCCCAGCGTGGGGGAAACAAATATTGTTTGTCTTGGGAGATCTCAATGAGATCTTCATTATTTTACTAAACTCCAGAGAGTAAAAGCCCAATTTCCTGAGTCTCTTGTAAGACAATCCCTTCACCCCAGGAAGCAAACCAGTGAATCTTTGTTATACCACCTCTAAGGCAAGTACATTCATCTGATTGAAACTGTACTCTGCATTGCAGATGTGCTCTCAACAAGGTCCTGTTCAGTTGTAGCAAGACTTCTTTGTTCTTGTATTCCAGTCCACCTGCAATAAACGCCAATATGCTATTTCCCCTCCTAATTGCACGTATCTTTCTGCAGTAAAACATTGATCGCCAACTGTGAGGACCCAGCTGTTGATGTTACCTTAGCAGGATCACCTCCCTGCAGCACCTCCCCCTCCCTCCCCAAGATTCATTGGTCCCAGCACAGACCACCAGATCTGGATCTCCCCCTCCCCCCAGTACCAGTTTATAGCATCTGTGCACCTTAGCATCAGTTAAGCAACTCTTTCCCCTGAGCAACCAGGTATGAACACAGATTTCCGGCAGGAGTTGAACGTGTATGCCAGTGGAGTGCAATGAATATTCAGGTTGTGTTCAGACTTCAGCGTAAATATCTCTAGCAACATGATATCCACAACCTTCTTCATTTAAAGCTTTCTGAAATTGGCGTGCTGCGGGCTGAAGGTGAAATCCTTCGGTTCTAATGTTCTGACTCTGGATTTTGCAATGTTGAGGAATTTGGCCCTTTGTGACTGTTTCCCAGCTTCATGTGTCCTTTCATGGTGCAGCCGTCTCGCATCTCTAACATCAGTGTTTCACCCCCACCCTTTCACATTGTTTGAAAGGATTCAGCTGTACACACACTGAGTTTCTCTTTGTTTATTCAGTTTCCATCCGTCCAATCTCGTCGCTGGAAACGGAACCAATTTGAGTGAAGCAAAGTCCTTGCTAATTCTGCAGACCAATAACCAAATGTAAGTATCAAAACAGCTTGTACGGGTTGCAGTTGAAAGCTAGTTTCTCGGTACAGGTGTGCGGTTGTTATGGAACACCAGTTTCTCAGCACAGGCATGCGGTTGCTATGGAGCATCAGTTTCTCAGCACAGGCGTGCGGTTGTTATGGAACACCAGTTTCTCAGTACAGGCGTGCAGTTGTTATGGTACATCAGTTTCTCAGTACAGATGCGCAGTTGCTATGGAAGTCTGGTTTCTCAG